ATAGTTTGATCACGGCTGTAGGAATTCTGAATGGCTACTGTGATTACTTTCCTGGTTACTTTTCTGCTCACAGGTTTGAAATCAATTTTTACACATGCTCCAAGAGAAAATGATGACTGGTCCTTCCCTTTTCTGACCTTTTCCTGTCCCTGTCACCTTTGAAATTGGCTGCTTCGCAAGCATGCCAGCTCCAGGTCACCCAGTCCTTAGTTTTAGACCTTATGGTCCTGCCTTCATTGATTTTGCACTTTTTTTTTTTATTTCTCAGTGTAGAAAGGAAGAAGAGTGGCAAATCAAGTTCTGTGACTGTTGTGAAGATGCTTTTAAGGGCCTCCTCTAGCATGATACTTGGCATATTAAAAAAAAATAATAAAAATTCTTGCTACCAGGATGTGCTCTCTATGTGGCAGGACAGCTGTTACCTACACATGGATCTCCTGCTCACAGCTCATGAAATGATGAAAGGCTGTCTATATTGCAACAGCAAGATAAGATGCTGGTAGGTGTTCCCTGGGGACACACTGTATTTCCAAAGTAAATGTCTGTCTGTACCTAGCAGCAGTCAAATCTGCAGGAAATTTTCCCAGCTTATCCACTAGCTTTTCCCTGAGAAAAGCAAATTTATTTTTTTTTTTGTACTGCCTACCTTTAAGGGAAAATATTAAATGTATCCAAGGGCAAGCCAGTATTTCAAGTAAAAATGTTAAATGCATAATTCAAGGACAAGCCAGTCGTCTAACGCCTGTTGCTATACAGCTTAGGGGCAGCTATCCCAGCGCCCACTGTCCTCTGGTGTACTCACCTGAACCAACCCTGCTGGCTGCTCTCATCCCTTGGATGTCTTAACTGGAGAGGAGTTCAATGGATTCAGTTAACAATGCACCATGTTTACAACTGACAGAAGAGAAAGGATGCTGCATGGGAAGAAATTAAGTAAAGTTGTGTACTTTTAAGCTGCTTATGGTCAGTTGTAGGCCAATTTTCATCGTGTAATATGGTGATCATGGTTGCAGAACTTGAAAGTTTTGCTGTAGAGACAAAGCCAAAATATAATATAGTAGCATTAGTCAGGCAGAAGTATAGTTTCACTTTTTCTGTAAAAACATCGTTTTACCTCAGTTTCTTGTTTTCCCTGGTGAGCTGAAGGCAAGAGCAGAAAGGAGAGGGAAAAAAAAAACTGAACACAATTAATTTCACCTGATTTAATGGAGATTTGGTATCTTAAGCAGGTGTCTTTGATGTCAGTTGTACTGTTCTGTTACTCCATTCTTCCCTTCACTTTCTCCATTACTGGAGGCTACTGAGGTAGCCTTTCTTTCTCATTCCCAGAGCAGCCACTCTTTGTACTGTCATCAAGCCAGAGTAAGAAATGCTCTTTCATATAAAGGATGAATCTTGTAAACTTAGTGAGGTTCACTTTCAAATGCTCCGTAGCTAAAGTTATGCACTGGGAAGTGCACTTTCTTAATTTCAATTGGATTCGATCCTTCCAAATGACAGTAGTAGGCTTTGAACACTCGGTTGAGGTTTTGTAAATGTAGTGCACTAGTCATTGCTATTTGTGGTTATTTCATCTATTAGTTTCTCTCAGTTAAAGAGACTAGGCTGTGACAGAACACATTTTGGAAATTCTTCCTTAGGCTGCTAAAACATTCTTCGTTATGTCTTCTAGCTCCATGCTTCTTCTTGCTGCTCTTGAAGGAACAAAAATTCACTTCCTCACATGTGTAACCTGCATTGCAACACAAACGCCTAAAATGTGGTTCCTTTGCCAAATCCTTTCTTCTGTTTTTCTCCTAAAGCATGGAAACAGAAGACTTAAAATCTGTCCTAGATAGATGATAAGCTAGTATTTTAAGAAAACCTGCTGGGTCTACTAAACAAATAGGTTTTATTGCTATCAGCACTTAATATTTTCAGTATACCATATTGAGTTGTAATGTAAACAGCCACAAAAAAATCTAGAAAATAGTCACCTGGCAATCAGCAGTGAACACACTGCAGTGCTATCTGCAGAGGATGTCTGCAGAGATTGCCTTTCCTGAGATTATTCTGCAGGAGGGCAGCACAAGAGCATGCGTATGATTCTCAAGGCAAGTTGAAGCCCTCTTCCCTCCTTTCTGCTGTTGCATTACTTATGCTTCCCAGCCAATGCAGTATAGATGAAGACTCAGTCATGAACATAAACTAGAATGGAACATTTTGTTGCCTTGTCTTTTGGGGAAGCCAGCTAGATTTTTCTGGTTAAGAAATTATCATAGTTTCAAAGTAGTGGTAGCCTTTATCTTGACTATGGTTACTGTCCTCTAGTTTCACTGAATTGTTTTGCAGTGACTCAAAGTCAATGCCACAAGAGGTTTTCCTGTGGCACCTCTGATAAATTACTACTTTGGGGACTGAACTGTATATAAAGTATTAGAATACATCATGCCTGTGTGATTACAGTGAAGCTGTGCACAGAAAGCAGAGCTGATTCCTTATCCTGTTCTGTGTCATGTTACTATTGTAGGTATGTAAATGGGATCTGCTACCTATTTCAGCCTGATAAAATGGATTTGGTTGAAAATGAGAGGCATAGTGCTGTATGTGATATGACTGTACCCAAAAGTGCCTTCAAAGTTGCAAATGCAGTTCAGCATTAAACCTCCCTAAGAACATCTGCTCCTGATGATAGGCAAATATGTGCTAAGTCTGCTACTGGAGTTTAGAAATGGATATAAGAAATTGCATGCTGCGATTCTGCCTCCAGAATTTTCTTTGGAATTTTTGATGTATCAAATGCAAGGTACACCCCTTCGTTTTCTGACTTGCACATGGAAAGAAGAACAAGGTATGTATGCACATAACAATTGTGGATGCTATGAGTGGCACAGGTTTAAATTTGAAACAAGACTGGCTCTGGAAGGTATCCTTGCTATATTTGGGGAATCTCAGTTTTTATTATCCATGAGTTTATTACAGAAAGATCAAGTGGACATTTGAGATGATGATGAGTCTTAATTATTTGGATGATAGGGAGGGGTACTGATAAAAGAGCAGAAGAAACTGAAGTTACCACCTAATTTCTTGGCCCAGTGTTGAGATCATCTATAGCTGTGTCACTTCTTAGGGATATTTGGTCTGTTGTTACCCAAGGGCAGAATTCTTACAGCTGGATTTAAGCCCAAGTAACTCTGGTTTTTCATGTCTTCACTATTACAGCTTTTTATTACTGGTGTTAAATGCAGATGAGATGACATTAAGTGAAATCTCCATTATAACTGAGAGAAATATATCAACCCACTGCATGTTGCTCCCTGACCATAAATACAAGTATTCACAGCCCAACAGAAAGTGGACCTGTACGTATTGGAAAACCATGGCAACTTCTTTTCAGACAAATCGTCATTTCTGCAGCTGTCTTGTGGATTCTTTGCTGTTGGTTTAAATAGTTCTTGAATCTCAGTGTCTGAAACTTGAAGCAGTTTGCTTGATCAGACCTTGCTAGAGCTTAGGAGGATGAAAGAATTCTTCTAATTGCTCTTTCTCTTCCCCCTGTTCCAATTAATATTGTTGGCTCACATTCACTGTGAGACACAGTGGTGCAACACCCAGATCTTTCTTTACAATGTCACCCTCTTGTTCGTAAATTCTCAGTTACATTTGCTGTGTTGATTATTGTTAGTCTGTTACTGTGCTGGTTATTGTTGTCAGAGGTGTGCCTTCTTTCTGTTTTCCTAGAATAGTTCCTTAAATTGCTAAGATTTGTTACTAATTCTTTTCTTTCCTCCAAATAGTTTGTAGCTTTGCATTCGTTGTAAAAATGAGTAAGTTGACCGATGAAAATATTCATACATACTGGTCTCAAAACCAGTTCTTGTGCAGTCTTCATTTATGTGAACCTTGATGGTGAACTGCTCATTACTAAGTATAATATTTTCAGTTAGATATGCTTGAATCTAGGACTGTTTTGTAAGACTTTTGACACTTGGTGAAGTCAAAATGAATGACATTTACTACCACTCCCATATTCCCAAGGCTTGTTATCCTGTCAGTGAAAGAAATTGTTAGTCTGACATGATTGATTCTTTACAAATCTTGTTGGCTGTTGCTGATTTTCTTGTTATGTTTAAGGTGCTTAAGATGTGCTTACTTTTTTTTTTTTGTAGAAATTGTAGTAAAACTTAATGGCAGTGAATTCCTCGGTTCCTCCTTATTCCTTAAGTTAAAGAGTAGAACTGTGTTTGCGTTTTCCTGCACTCTTCTGTTGGTACTCAGCTGCCAATATTGCTGATATGTAGTGACTGTTATTTAAGTACTTTTTTGGGGTGAAATTTTATCAGGTGTGCTTAAAGTGAAGAAGTCAAACTTACCTTATTACTCTTTGACCCTTTCTTATAGGTTGTAGCTTAAGTTTTTACTGCTTTATCTCTGGTTTTGGTTATTTAACACTGCTTATTTCTCAGCATAATTGTTCTTATTGAGTACTACAGCTTCAGAGCCTGGGTGTAGCAATTTAATGTTATTGTTTTTTAAGCATACTGTTTATGAACCAACCTTTGTGCCGTTAACAACCTCCCTTAGTTTTTCTCAGGAAAATAAATAAATGTTATGCTATTTAAAAAAAAATATTTTGACAAATTGTTTTATAGGAAAATGTATGTATATCTGTCTTTAGTTTTTCAAAATCAAATGTATACCTCCATAGAATCACTGAAATTGTTTGTATATACTTTTCTGTCCCATTTGAGCTGTGGAAGTTTCTTATGTACAGCAAGTTTCTTCTAATTCAGCATACTGAATATTGTGGATTGGCAGTGATTCATGTATGACTTTAGAGCTTACATGAGAAGCCTGTTAAAATTTTTATATTTAGAAGTCAGAAAACATCCAGGTAGCATTAGGGATTCGAAATAAATGGTGATGGTTTTTAGTGCACTTCCAGTCCGTTTCTCTGTTTCTTAGTGAAATGAAGAAAGGTGGAAAGCAAATGAGCACAGGAATAAAATTTGGGAGCAGCGCAGTCCTTTCTTGAGGTAACTTAAAATTTAAATGACAGTTACTAGGAATGTTTTGCTTGGTTTAAATTGCTGTGTGTCATGTGCATTTATTTTCTTCTGTGTATTTTTTGCTTTAACTCTCAACTTGAGTTAGTTGCTATCATGGGTGCTATTATGTTCCATCATACTCAGACTTTACTTAGCATAAGTAATAGAATAAGAGTGTACATGAGACATTTTTATCGAGTTTAGAAATATCCACTTTAAAAGGAACTGATTTTATGATGCTAGAAAGCATAGGTCTCTTTGGAACAATGTCTGCCTATTTATTTTAAGAGAAGTATGTGGCAGTGTCTTCCTACTTAAAGGTAAATATGGAAATGAATAATGCCTAGCAAGGCTAAGACTTAAGGGTATTCTTGGAAAGCTTGTTGTGAAATTAATTCTGTGTCTAGTTGGTGGTGAAATCTAGGCAGGAATTGTTCCTCTGTTCCACCCACGCTGAGGAAGATAGAATTTTCAAGTGTTTTTGGCCTATAGAAAATACAGCATGTCAGGGAATGTATGTTGCTGATGAATGGTATATGAAAAACAAACTTAAAGAAAAAAAATTACTGCAACAAAAACTCTGTTCTGATCATTCTAAACATAAGAAATTGAAGTGGAGGGAATTAGAAAGGATTTTGAAATTGCTTTACGGCTTTTTTTTCATTTAAAGATTGTGAAAGACTGTAGTAAATAGCAAATTGTTTAAGCAGATGGTAGATGTTTGAAGGACTGTATTTATTTGTATGTCTGTTCAAAGAAATGTTGAAAAAAAAAAAAAGACAAAAACCTCTGGTATTTTCACAGAGTAGATTTTTCTGGAATCCAAAACACAAATTGGCATGAACTAGTATATAAGTTAATTAGTAAAAGAAAAAATCAAGGCAAATGTAGTTCAATATGGGAACATAATAAAGGAAAAAGAAAAAAATCAAGACTGCTTTGATAATGTTCCAAAATGGAAACAGACTCAAAGATGTCCATGGGATACACGCATCTCCCAAGGTAGAGAATTGTGTTGATTTTTAACTTATCAGATGTAATGGAATCCGTTTATGTTTAGTCCTGCAGTAAAATCAAGGGGAAACAACAGGAAAATGAATTTATCAGAAATAGATGCCAAAAGGTTCCTTGAGATCTAAGTCATTTTTTAAGTCATGTGTTTATGCAAACACACTGACTACTATACAAAGGTTGTGCTATTCTTTTATGATCCTGTTGGGTGTTTGCTCTTTTTTTTTCTTTCTCGTCTTTTTTGCTTTACAGGCTGGGAGACAATTCTTTATATGTTTCAAGGGAAGGGAGTCTTTGCTCTTCATTTTTCTACAGGTATCAGTTGTATAAAGGGACACAATGCCATGGAAGCATTCAGCAGCACATACTGCTGAGGTTTGGTTGCAGCTCATGGCTACCTACTCTTTATCTTTCTTCCCCCTTCTAGCTCTCCATAGCTGTGTGCCTCTTTCTGTGTGCATTGCAGCCTGCCTTCAGCCTCACCTGCTGCCCTGCTTTGCACGCTGCTCAGCCTGCGGAAGCTTTCAGCTGTGGGATCCTGGCTGTGAGGGGAGCACAGGTGGCTGGGCATGGGCAGCTGACCACTCTGAGTCCTAGGCTCAAACCATGGAGCAGAGCCAACAGCAAAAACCTGTTGGAGTTCTTCTGTTGGCATTTGTTCCTCTCATCTGGTTGGTTTCCCTTATTGTTCTGCTTGGTTGTTTTTTTTTTTTTTCTTTTTTTCCTTTCTTTCAGTGGTGGTTGGGTGCTTGGTGTCTTGCCAAGTTTTAAGCAGTGTTTTTGTTTTCTGTTCTTCCTTCCACATCTGTTAATTTAAAAATTTGGTCTGCGATTTCATGATTCAAAAGTTCATCGTGCAACAGTACCAATCCAATATTAGAAGCTTAAGAACTATTTATCCCTTTTATCAATTTAAGTTCCCTAAATAATACACCAAGAGTTAATTTACACTGTCAGTTTCAAATAATAGTATCTGTGGTCAGTAATTCCTTCTGAACTCCTTAGGGGGAAAAAACCATAACACATCTTAGTTGTGTATATCTTAAAAATCAGTTCTGTGGTAAGTGCATGTGATGTTTACCACTGGAATAGATGTCGGTGACTTCTGTTTGACATGGTGCTTATTTGCTCTGAGGTCACTATTTAGCGTGCAGTTAATGCTGTTTGCATTTGTTTATGATCATTCTTTCTCCCCTGGGATAGGGATTTATATTTGTATAGCCTCAATAAAGAGTAATGAATTATCCAAGTCTTTCAGAAGTTATGGTCGAGTTGTTCCATAAATTAAAAGCTTTTTTCCCACATGGTTCACTTAAAAACGTTAATCTTAACTAACTTTGTTTCTTCCACCACTTATATACGTTTGAGCCGTAATGGAGAAACCTTTCTTCTAGGAAAGAGCGGGCTAGCAGTCACCAAGTGTCAGCAATGTCTAAACAAATGTTAGGATTCTCATTCCTACTATATCATGAAACACAATGGTTTAAAATATGAATAGAGTGATACTGCGATGGATTGAATTGTTTGTCAGTAAAACAAACAGCAAAAAACAAAACTGTTGGTAATGTTTCAGTTTTCACTGAAATTTCACTGAAATACTTTTGATAATTATTTTTTCCTAAAGTTTCTCTAAACCACTGTTCAAAATTCAAAATGTGTTTTTTTTTTTAAAGTATATTTATAACATGACTCTTTGTATACAAAGCTTAGTTTATTAAGATACAACAGCAAAGGATAAAAGAAAAGGGATCCAATGTCCAACTGTATTGTGAAGCTCTTCTATATATATATTGTTTAAGCTATAGAGTGATTAAAAAAAAAAAAACAAAACCCAAAACCATTGCAATTCTGAAGACTTACTGAACTGTATATACTGAGTACTCCAATTTTTTGTTGCATTTGTATTTGAAAACAAAAGCCTCTGCAAAGTAATGAGGAGGTAATATGATACGAATACCAACGTGTCTTGATTGATGGTACTTTTCATTTTATGGTCAGCTTGCTTTTTCTGCATTGGAATGCAGGAAAATCTTTGAGGAAATATCAGCTGTGGAATTGTCCCACTGACAGGGGAAGTCTAGGGTGTAGGTACAAGTGAGTTAAGCACAGGAGACTTGCTAGTGATGGCCATGTTAAAGCTCAGGAAGCCAACTTGATTAAGAACCTCTTTAAACAATTCTAAGAGCATAGCAGGCAGGTGGTTACTGAAGCAAGTACTTAAGTAAGTGTTCCAGTGCTTGTCATAGACATTAAACGAGCAATGATTTTGTCCCATACGTTACTCTCAGATTAATTGTGTTATGCACTGAAAAGATTGATTTTTTTTTTTTTTAATAATTCTTTTTTTTTCCTCTGCTTGCCCTCTATTTTGTAATAGTCTAGCATTTTTAATGTATTGCTGTAGACCCAAGGTTATGGTTGTGGCACTGCATAATGAAGCAGAATGTTCAGAAGGAATTGGTTCTATTTGATGAACAATGGAGGAGCTCTCTCAGGCTTCTGTATGTGTGTATTTAGTTTATAAAAGCAGAATGTGAAATTTGTCACTGTAATCTTTATCTGGCTAGGCTAGGAAAAAAATGTATTATTCCTTGTTACTGAATGATTTTTCTAATGAGTTATCCACAATAGTATCTTGTCATGCCTGTAATCAGTAGTACTTATTTATGTTTGTCATAAGGTATCAACCATACCAGAATTAAGAGCATGGCTGTATGACTGGGGAAAATACCAACTGTCATAGCTGCTCTGGCTGCCTATCAAGCAGTGCAGTTCAGTAGCATCAAGTTCTGATCCCCAGAACTGCCTAATGCTGCTCCTGCAGTGGAGTGAGGTCAGGCTCAGGACTTGGGAAGAGTGATATGGGAGTCTCATCCACCCCTTGCTTTCCAACGATCTTTACTTCTTGTCTGCTAAAAACTAATCTGTTGGTATAGCAGCTTTTAAAAGTGTGTTATTTCTGGTAGAGAAAAGAGCTTGCATGAAATGAAGGTTACTCATAAGACTAATAAGATGCTTCCTAGTTTTTCTACATATTTTCTGAGTTCTCATATATATTTTGTTAGTAAATGCGTAGTTTTAGCAAATATGCATTGACTACTGTATGTGGTTAAGAAGTAAGTTTCTGGCTAGAGGTATTTAGTGAATACTATTTTTGAAAATCAAAACCATAAATTTTTTCCCCATTAAAAATCATATTTACAAAACAGTCTGATAATTATTTGAGTCACAAGACATGCATCAAAATTAATGGAGGAAATATAATCTCTGTCAGTATCAATATGTCAGGGTCAGTGGAATATTTGGGAATCTGCCAGCTTCAAAGTGAAACTTTATTGCTCATTTGTTTTATTGCAAGATTAATTACTAACTAAAGAGGATTATTTGATATCGGTGTGCTTCTGAGGGTGAAAAACACATGGAAGTTTTAAATAATGTTTTTAAGTTTGAAGTAACCTCCTTAGGATTGCATCAGCAAGCCATACTTGTGTTTTTATTATGTTATGGTGACCTAAGTGGAGCAGAAGTGCATCAGGTTTGTAATCACTGTGTCTTGGCAGAAATGTCTGGACTTAGTGATTGCGTTCCCATTTGAATTAAAGTTTGTAGTGTTTTATCTGGTAAGCAAATTCATCTTTGACCCTTTAAGTGTTAATAAAATTTTAAAGTAACACGCTAAATTAAGTACTCGTTCTAAGACAAGTGAAAACAGCGTTACTACAGATAAGAACTATACCTAAGTGATTTGTGTTGTGATGGTGCCTAAAACGTCAAACACTTGAATCAGCAGTTCTGTGTTCAAAGCAGTGTAGGTGGCTGTGTTGCAGAGAATATCAGTAGTATCTGTTGTTCGTGTGCTGAATTCTATGCCATGGAAATGAAAACAGTGTTTCATCTTGTTATATCTACACTTTGTCTATTACATATCAGTGTTTAAAAATAAATGAAATTAATTAGCTCTCTAGGCCAATGAACTATTCTTTATTAGACTCCATTAAACTAGTCACTTCTCTTCCTGAAAAATTCGTGGTAGTAGAGGTGTCTTCAAGGTCTCATGTGCTTTCAGTGCAGCAGCATTGTTTTTAAAAGGGAGGTGCTGCCAAATATTTTTCTCCTCATGTCTACTGTCAAGTTGTTAACTTGCATTGGTTCTGAGATTGAATGGGACCTACTGTCTGCCAAATTGCTTTTCCTAAGAGTTCTTGAAGGTAAGGAGCTGTTAGCATTCAGATGTATTTTTCTATATCTTTTATTGATCTGTTAGAATTATTTTTGAACTGCGTCTTTCTTCAAACTTAGTGATAACACCATAGTTATTGCACACTTTTGACACTGTGTTCGTTTCTCAGCTCTCTTTTCTCTTGGTCCACCCACTGTCTTTGGAAGGACAAGGTTGGCATAAGAAACCTGTGTGTCATTTGCTCCATTTCATAATGGGTGGTTCAACCTAGAGAAGACTGAGAGGAGATCTTATCCAAGCTGATAAATATCTAATGGGCAGAAGTCAAATGAATGGGGTCAGGCTCTTATTAGTGGTACCCAGAAAGATGGCAAAGGCAGCAGGCACAAACTGAAACACAGGAAGTTCCATCTGCTAGTGAGAAAAAACATCTTTACTTTCAAAGTGACAGAGCACTGGAATGAGCTACCCAGATAGGTTGTGGAGTCTCCATCTCTGGTGAAATTCAAAACCCACCTCAATGCTTTCTTGTGCAACCCGCTGTAGGGTAGCTGCTTTAGCAGTGGGGTTGGACTTGGATGATCACAAGAGGTCCCTTCCTTCTCCCTTGTGATTCTGTGACCAGGGTCATGAAGTGCTTGTGGATACCTTCTTTCTTGCAATGTTCCACTTCTGTGTAGACATGGAACTCTCTGGCTCAGTATCTTAACCTGCCATTACTGATTAGCTGCTGATTCAAGGATTGTTAGCAACCTTTTTGTATTGAATGGTGTTACAAACCATAATATTCATAATTTCTACAGTAGGTTCAAATGCTGTAGGACACTTGTCAGAGTCTGGAGACTAGACAAATAGAGGAAGCCATGATACTTGTTAAGAAATTATGAATGGGCTTATAAAATCAGCTGGCTGTTTTTGATCGTTACGTTTACCTAAAATATAAAGTAGCTTTTTAATCTGTACAAGTGTGTTTGTGAAGATATTTTTATTTTGAGGGGGTACTTGAAAGGGGAATCTTGACTTTTCATGAAAGGCAGTCATTCTACTTACTTCAACCCACTGTGTAGTTAACAATCTCTCTTGCCCAATTTAACACCACCTCAAATGTTTGCTATATCATAGCCTCAGTAAGTGTGTCCTGATAGGTGTCCTGCAGGGCAGTTGTACATGGCCAGTCATATTTTAGTGAGGTTTTTGAAACATGCATTTGTGAAGATCTATGTCTTCCAGAGTGGTGGTGGTATTGTATTTGCAGATACTTGTGTACAGTAGATGTGTGTGGATGTATTATTGCTGGGCAGCTGTCC